CCTGCTCCCACTGATTTCAGTAGCAGGAAGAGCAGAGCCGAAGGCTGCACCTGTGATGGGAAACAGCCCTGCTAAGGCCGCAGGAGGACTGGGGGAGCGCAGACTGCTTGCTGATGTGCATGAGACTTCCCTTTGTAACAGAATCAGGCTCGGAGCTGAGGAGGAAACTAGTCCACTTGGGGCCGTGGCTGCTGGGACCAAGACTGTGGTACTAAAAAGAGCATCGCGGCCCCGGTCTGAATCCCGGCACATGAGATGCGCTTCCCCGAGAACCCCAAGGAGCGGAAACAAGCAGCCACTGAAACAGGCCTTCCAGCGCAGCCAGAAGTTTGTGCACCAAGGCCCATCCACCCCCTCAGCTGCCCCGTGTGCCAGGACTGAAGCCAGGCCACTGGGACCAAGACTGTGGTACTAAAAAGAGCATCGCGGCCCCGGTCTGAATCCCGGCACATGAGATGCGCTTCCCCGAGAACCCCAAGGAGCGGAAACAAGCAGCCACTGAAACAGGCCTTCCAGCGCAGCCAGAAGTTTGTGCACCAAGGCCCATCCACCCCCTCAGCTGCCCCGTGTGCCAGGACTGAAGCCAGGCCATGCTCTTAGCCTGGGGCTAGGGTACTAAAAATAGCACCATGGCCCTGGCTGCAGCCCAGGCACATGGAGCAGCCACCCGCCATGCAGCCCTGCACCAGCCCCTGGGGGCTAGAGGGGTTGCGGGGTGCAGGTGTCCGGAAGGGGCAGGGGGAAAACTAAGGAGAAGGTGGGTGAGGAGAGGAAGGGGCTTGTGCTGAGGGGAGAGGAGGGGCCAGGGCAGGAGAAGAAAGGGGCAGGCACCAAGGGGCAAGGTGGGGGAGAGACAAATGCCAGGGGGCCAAGAGGAGACAATGAGGAAAGGGCAGAAGGAGCAGGGGTGGAGGGAGGGGAAGGTGTCAGAGGGGTTGGGACAAGGTGATGCTGGGAGAGGAGAGGGGCACTGGGGGCAAGAGGAAGGAAGAGGGGAGGGGCGAAGTGGGTGCTGGGGGGGGGG